CAAATTAAAAAAAAAAACACGTGGCCTTGTGGTTAGGGCACTAGACTCCCACATGGCCAACTGCAGTTTGAGTCCTGCACCTACTGGCTTGTTTTCTCACTTTCCCTCACTCTGTCTCTGGTGAGTGCACATGTCCTATAGCAAACTTAATAATAAAATAGTAATAATAAAGTAAGAAAACTTTTTTTCTGTTTTTGGAGAGTTTTTGTTTTGTTTTGTTGTGTGTTTGTTTTTTCTTATTGGGTGTGTGCACTTGCCAGAAAGACAGAGAGAAACAGAGAGATAGAAAGCAAGAAATCACCCCCCAGAGTGGATGGCCACACTGCAATCCCTTCCTCCTCTCGGGATCTTGGGCACACACGCACATGCGCCCGGCATGAGTTAAAGCCACTGGGTCCGGGACTCAAACTGCGGTCAACTACATGGGTGTCCAATGACATAGCCATTACACTAACTGCTGGTCCCAGTAAGATCATTTTTAAAAATACCTTAAAGAGTGAAAAAAATATATAAACGATGCCTATGTACTTGCCACACAATTTACCAATATCTTTAGAACCTCCTGCGTCCCCACCCACCCCAGTAGCTGGCTGTCCTGTAGGGGTACCCATGTCATCAACTATGCGTTAATCATCTTCTTACTTTTTCTCCTGGTTTTGATACATATGGATATAATGTTAGATCTTAAAAAGTGTTTAGATTCTCTCGTTATTTTTTTACTATACCACAATTTACATAGGCTTTGATGATCAGTATATTTGAATTCATTTCTAGCATCTTATTTTGTTCTTTATCACATTTTTTTTTTCATTTAAATTCCTCTCTCCTTTTTTTGGTATTGAGATTCCTTTTTTCCCCTTCTTTGGTTACAATTTACCCCTTCCATTGGTTTAGCAGTTATAGACTCTATTAAATTTCAGGGCATGTTTAACGAAGTATGAAGTTCATGTTTTTCCTTTCCTTTTCATTGACACAATGACCTTGGAATCCTCCTACTGAGACTGCTTGAAATCCTGCAGTTTCATATAGAGAGGGCTCTTCACATCTAAGTAACTGCAGCTTTTGATATCTGGTTTGTTCGGCTCTTCTATCTTGACAACATAGTAACTCTCTCGGGGACAGGGAAGAGAACAAATGTGGGAAAATTAGACCATTGGCCCTAAGTGGGACCTTAAAGATGATCTAAACGAGTGTTTTTCAAAGATTTTGACCAAGCCCCAAAATACAAATTATATTTTATAACCAATTTACAGATAAACATGGTATATAAAACTGAAGCACAACTTTCTTGAAACAGTAATCCCTTTCGTCTACAGATTATACTCTGAGCTGTCCTATTTTGTTCCATTTCACCCTGTTCTTTCATTTAAAACAAAAATCATCCCAACCCATTAAATTGGTTGCAGCCCAGTAAGGGATTCTGAAAAACCCAGACGTAGCCTAAAATCCTCAGTTTACTGCTGAGGAAGTCAAACCCCAGAGTGATGACATGAGTGTCTAAAATAAGACCCAAACTCTGACCTCTTTTTTTTTTGGAGAGGTTTTTGCTATAGGGCGCATGCGCTTGCCAGACAGACAGAGAGACAGAAATCGAAAAATCGCCCCCCAGGGGGGATGGCCATGCCACAATCCCTTCTCCTCCATTCTCCTCTTGGGATCTTGGGCACGCACGCACACGTGCCCAGCGTGAGTTTTAAGTCACTGGGTCCGGGACATGAACATTGGTCGACTACATGGGAGTCCAGCGTCATAGCCATTATGCTAACTGCTGGTTCCCCAAACTCTGACCTCTTTTTTTTTTGGAGAGGTTTTTGCTATAGGGCGCATGCGCTTGCCAGACAGACAGAGAGACAGAAATCGAAAAATCGCCCCCCAGGGGGGATGGCCATGCCACAATCCCTTCTCCTCCATTCTCCTCTTGGGATCTTGGGCACGCACGCACACGTGCCCAGCGTGAGTTTTAAGTCACTGGGTCCGGGACATGAACATTGGTCGACTACATGGGAGTCCAGCGTCATAGCCATTATGCTAACTGCTGGTTCCCCAAACTCTGACCTCTTATCTCCAAGTCCATTATCCATATGTCAGCCAGATCAAAAATAATACAGGATGGAGGAAGTAGGGAACCAGTGGTGAGTGCAGTTAGGAAATGGAGAATTAAACCCTCCTGCCATCTCCTGGGCATCGAATTTGGGCAGAAGCAAAGCATCTCATACCTGCTGTGCTCTGACTCCAGCAGTGCTGGACACCCTCTGCTGTTCCCTCCGATCCTCACAGTCACTGCACACAGCCGGGTTTACCACCTCAGCTTTGTAAAGATGGGCCTGGAGGCTCAGAGAAGTGAGGTCATTCAGCTCTTTTGTGGAGCTTGTCAGAATAAGCCTGACTGGGCCCACAGCTTATGGCATGTTGCTTCCTCATACCACCTTTCTGTCTTTCTTGGCTTCTCTTGCTTAGTGTTATATCTCTCAGAAGGAAGATAAAGCAGCAAAAGGAAGACTGACAGGGGCCAGCAGGTGGCATGGTGGTTGAGGCGTTGGACTCCCTCATGGCTGACCATGGTTCGAGTTCTGGACCTAGCGGCTTGAAATTCATACCAGGCATGTGTGCTTGTGTGCATGTGTGCCCAAAATCCTGAGAGGAGAGTGGAGGAGAAGGGATTATGGTGTGGCTATGCCCCCTGGAGGGTGATTTCTTACTTTCTCTCTCTCTCTCTCCTCAGCAAGCACATGTGCCATAAAGGAAAAAGACAAAACAAAAACTCTCTCTGGAAAAAAAAAAAGAAAAAAAAAGAAAGAAAGACTGACAAAAACTAATTCTAAGCAATAAGAATAACTAGTTAGGGGACCAACAGATGGCATAATGGTTACATCACTGGACGCCCGTGTAGTCCGACCATGGTTCAAGTTCCAGACCTGGTTACTTAAAACTCATGCCAGGAATGTGTGCCAAGATAATAGTGGAAGAGGACAGCTTATGGTGTGGCCATTCCCCCTGAGAAGTGATTTCTCACTTTCCGTCTCTCTATCTTTCTCTGTCTCTCTCTTGTGAACTCATGTGCCCTATAGCAAAACCCTCTCCCCCCCAAAAAAAGAGTAACTAGTTGGTGATAGAGTTTATAGATTTGTTTCTTTTTATATAGTTAATTAATTTTATTATTACTTTTAATTTACCAGAGAGAGAGAAAGTGAGACAACAAGTTGCCAGGTCCAGGACTTGAACTGCAGTCAGTCATGTGAGAATCTAGTGCCTTATCCACTATGCCACCAGCCGGCCCCTAGGCTTGCTTCTTTATTCCGTCATCCCTGTTAGCATTTTAGCTCCCTGAGCGCATGGTCTTCTCCTTGTTCCCTGCCTAGTACAGCCCCTGCCACACCGTAAGCTCCAGAGGACCATTTATTGACTGGATAATCACGTGCGTGTAGAAGTAGGGATGTTGGCCTGTAGAGGAAAGCTGTGTAGTGACCGAGAGAACAGCTGATGGACAAAGTCTGCCTGCATCCAAAATTTGGTGACCTTTACAAGCTACTGATGAAGGCAAGTTATTTGACGTCTCATACGCCTCAGTTTCCTGGGGATGGTAATAATGCCAACCTCGTGGTATGAGTTAGTGAGGGAAAGCGTTTACAACAGTGCTGGCTTGTGGTAAGCTTAGCTGTTTCTGTCATCTGAGGCCATGACAGCTGAGGAGAATATGGGATCCGTGTCTCATATCTGGGAGGAAAATATCACGACGTTTAGAGGTGAGTATGATCTGATGCCTAGGGGCGCAGAGGAGACTACTGTTCCTGCTCAATCGCAGAGGCTAAACAGCACATTTCTAACTATATTTACGACCAAAAAGAAATCTCAGTCTGGAGCAGATGATTAAGCAGATGGCCTGTGAATATGTTAAAAAGAGGATAGTGCTTACTGAGCATCCACATGGATTTGTGAAGAATCACATTTTTGAGAGGTGACTTCACGAAAAGGCTAGGAAAATGCCACAGTCGCAGTTGTGTTTTCTTTCCAGGAAAGCGTTTAGAAAATCTGACTTAGAGAACAGCAGAATGCACGGTTAAGCGTGTGAGCCCTGGGGTCAGAGAGGCTGCCACATAGCCTCCTCTGCAATTGGCCCCCCAGTTTTCTGATCTGAAAAATGTAGAGAGTGATTCCAACAGCCTCCTACTGTGCTTCAGAGAACTAACCAAGGTAACCAGAGTGCCTGGTAAACAGGATGCCCATGTGAGCCCCCCCAAAATCACAAGCCCTGGGTAAGCAGTGGGAGTGGAATAGAATGTGGTTGCCAGTCAGGCAGGTTCCCAGCTGTTGGCCTCTACCAAGCCCGGGTCAGGCTCACAGCTGAAGGGTGGAAGTTTGTTCTGCAGTTGTCAGCACAAACACTGAGGTCCCCTGATAGCACTGACGGGGCTGGGAGAGAGAACTCTGCTGAGCAGCGCCAGGTCTGAGGCATGTTGCTTCCCCTTCTCTCCCCCCAGGGGCCTTCGTGGTATGCTGGACCCCAGGCCTGGTGGTTCTGCTCCTGGACGGCCTGAACTGCACGCAGTGTGATGTGCAGCACGTGAAGAGGTGGTTCCTGCTGCTGGCGCTGCTCAACTCCGTCGTGAACCCCATCATCTACTCGTACAAGGACGAAGACATGTACGGCACCATGAAGAAGATGATCTGCTGCTTCTCGCAAGAGAAGAATGGGGAGAGGCGCCCCTCCCGCATCCCGTCCTCAGTGCTCAGCAGGAGCGACACGGGCAGCCAGTACCTGGAAGACAGCATTGGCCAAGGCACAGTCTGCAATAAAAGCAGCTCCTAAGCCGTGGATGTGTCCCGGCCCACCTGGACCTCCTCTGGGAAATGAGCTGTTAGGAATGGCGACCTATCCTAGCAAAACCCATGCACAGTGTTATTTGAGGGCTGAATGAATCACTGCTAGGTTAAAAATAAAATGGGTTTACATAGTTAAAAGCAAGGGCATCCAGAGGGGACCCAATGCATTCAGAGAAAAATGCACAGCGGCAAGTCATCACCGTGGATCCTGCTTGTTGGCCTGTGAACTGCTCGGAGCCCCTGACAGCCTGGCCCTGCATTCCCGGCCCTGCCTTTCTCTTGTAGCCATTCTCTCTGTGTTTGAAAGGGATGCCGTTAAAGGGCGTCAGCCAAAATAAAGAATAAGTAATGTTACTTGAGCCAGCTTATGTAGCTGCTTGGAAAAACCTATGTAATTCTTTCTGCATGCATTTAAAAGTTTTAGAAATGCTTCCGCAATGATACTCTTTTCCTCAAAGAAACCATGGCCAGTAGCTGGGTGTTCAATAGGAATCTAAGAATAACAAATCAGTGAGGGCTTCCGATTAAACTTGATTGTGAGCCAAAAAGGCATACTGCAGGAAAATACTTAAAAATAACAACAAACAGGTAAACATCAAAACCTCGTTTGAAGTGAAAAGACCTTGAGGGGTTCTCTAAACACGCGCGTGCGTTCCCATGTGTATTTATACAGTTTAACTGTATGTGTTAAGGCTCCAAGGACCGAGATGATACAGTGAATTTAACGGTCGCCTGGACTTTCCAGTCGAGGGCTAGCGCTGTAGAAATGACCTGTCATGTGCTCAAGAAAAGAGAAAGAGGTGTTCACTTGAAAACGGACACTCGCGTACAGCAGACAAATAGCCTGAATCCTGGATCCTCCCCCCAGGGACAATGTGGGCTGGACTGGAGACCTTACTGTGAGTTTCCGTACCTCAGGTAGCTTACCGGATTTAGTGTGTGGAATAATTGCACACCTCCTATTTTACTTAAGGTTTTCAGCAAACACTCAGTATATGTCTTGCTTGCGGACTGAATTTTTCTCTCGGTTCTCTTTTGAATTTTTCTCCTTCAAAGACATGAATGGCAAGTCAGTAAAAAAGAAAATGTTGTGTACACCTAGGCTACTGACCAACATTTTCTATGTAAAGCATTTAGATTACATTCTGATTTAAAATAAGAATCACGGGAGCAGCAGTTAGCGTAATGGCTTATGTTGCTGGACTCCCACGTAGTCGACTGTGGTTCGAATCCCTGACCCGGTGGCTTAAACTCACACCAGGCGTGTGTGCGTGCGTGCCCAGGATCCCGAGAGGAGAATGGAGGAGAAGGGATTGTGGCATGGCCATCCCCCCTGGGGGGTGATTTCTCGCTTTCTGTCTCTCTGTCTCTGTCTGTCTGGCGAGTGCACGTGCCCTATAGCAAAAACCTCTCCAAAAAAAGAAATAAAAAAAGAATAACTTCAAGACAGAAATGATAGTATTTATGTAGTTTGCAAAAGAAGTTTACAATTTTTTTGCTGTTGTGATGTAACATTTATGTGCAAGAACTACTTGTAATAAAAGAATTTGAGAGTCATGCTTTTAGATGTAATGGCCCTGAAGTAGCGAGTACTACAATTTGAAAGTACAGATTTCACATACTCTGTGTAGTAAGTGGGTCTACCTGAAACTTTTATCAAAGCTACCCATAAAATAAAATTTTAAAAAATCTTTCTTGTTGAGGTGCATTATTGCTTTGTGGATTTTCTAAGAAGAAACATATTCGATAGTTTGTGGAAAGAGAGCACACATTTCTTCTTCTACGGAAGAGAAATCGCATTTGCCACGAAGTACATGCTCTCAGTGTTTTATGTAAGCATTTTGAATGTACAGCTGGCCAAAGGGGGGAGAATTGAAATTGAATTCCAGTCTCTGAATAGCTACTAAGGGATCTTTAACGGTTTTATTTTGAGGAAAGGATCATTTTTAGTACTCCGCAGCAGAGTGTCATATTCAGAATGGTGTCTGGAGGGGATCCAACGTGTGGAAACTCAGGGTAGGAATATAGAGCTTTTCTTTTTATGCACACACATATCTCAGCAATGGTACAAAAGTAGAGAAACCATGTATGTTTAGAAATGACAAGCGCCAGGGGTCACAGGGCTTACCGAGAACCCTCAGAGAACCCAGCTCTTAGCAGGAAAACGAAAACAAAACAAAGAGTGACTATTCCCGCTTACATTCTATGTTCCCAAGTTTACCTGCAAGTCATTGAGATGACTGAAAATTTTATCCAGACCTTGTGAGACCAGTGCTTGACACAAGGCATGGGCTACTCTTTAGATAAACCAAATTTAATTTCCTTCTTGCATTTGTAGCATTGGCCAAGGTGTTCCGATAAATCTGTATTGGTAAGGGAAGTTAGTCCTTTGTGAAGACTGCCTGCTTAGAAAGAAAAAGCTCTGTGACCAGCAGATGGTATAATGGTTATGTTGCTGGACTCCCACATGGCCAACTGTGGTTCAAGTCCTGGACCTAATGACTTGAAACTCATGCTGGGTGCCTGTGCGTACATGCCCAAAATCCCTACAGGAGAGTGGAGGAGAAGGGATTGCTGTGTGGCCTTCCCCCCTGGGGGATGAGTTCTTGTTTTCTGTCTCTATGTCTCTGTCTCTCTGGCCAATGCACGTGCCTTATGGCAAAAATCAATCTCAAAAAAAATAATGATAATAAATAGAAAGGAAAAGATCACTGGAAATTGTTGAAATTTCTTGGTGCCTATTCGCTTCAGATGGTAACAGACTTGGGGCCAGTGTGTGGCCTTAGAACCATAAGCATGGAAATGAAGTGGCAACCCCCATTTGTGGAAGTCCCTTAAGAACAACACTAAGTCATCAAATGAATGTAAGCCTTCGACAAGTTCACATTTTCCTCATAATTGACACTTCTGTGTTTTTTATAAATGAAAAAAAAAAAAAGTGCCCTGGCTTCTCAACACATTGAGCATGTGTTCCGCCCACCATTGGGTGGTTCAGAACCAAGGACTCAACAGAGTCAGGGGCAACAGCATGAGGGAGTTTGAGGAGTGCAGTTCTATTCACCTGTAGGTGGTGCCCCAGAAGACTATAGCGCATGCTGGGCTCCATGCTTGTAGACCGGTTTTCCTCCTGGAGGTTGAAAGTGTTGTGTGCTCATTAGCTCATTAGTCCTGTAACATTTTGGGGAGGGCAATAAGATTATTTGAACTTCTGTTTCAGTTGGCTGAATAGACATAATGAAGGAGAGTCCTGTGACCACATCTGTGAAGGTGCTTTAGCGACAAGCTCAAGCCCTGCTAGAGCCTGAAATAAAAATAACCAAAGCGTTATCCTACATGACGATGCATCTCACTGAGCACACACAAGAATTAGAACCACACGGAAACAGATAGGAGGCTTTACCAGAGAATGATGTCCTCTTTGTGGGTCACTAACTCTGGTAAATTGGAAACTCCATAGGTTCCTGACAATTTTACTCATTGTCTTTTGGGCATCGGTGTGGGGGTTAGAATTGCATTAGCACATGAACTTTTTTGTTGTTGTTTGTATTTTTTTATTTTTATTTACTATGTTTCTTACATATTTTACTTTTTTCCCCCTTTGATTTCCTCCCTCTCACCCTCTGCCGTTTCTCACCCTCCTCCCACACTGTCTCTGGTATCCACAGCTGCTCTCTGTGCTTTTTACCACCTACTAGTTCCATTGCTGCCATGAAGGGCAGACATTTGGTATACATTAAGTGGGGACATACAATGCCTCTCTTTCATAGTCTGGCTTGCTTTACTTAGCAGTAAATATTCCATATTCATTCACTTTCTGTCCAATGTCAGGGTCTCATTTTCTTCTATGGCTGAGTAGTATTCCATAGTGTATATATGCTAGCTTTTTTCAACCTATTCTTCTGTTTGTGAATATTTGAGTTGGTTCCATATCTTAGCTATTGTGATTAATGCCACAATAAACATAGATGTGCAAGTGTTTTTCTGACTGAGTGCCTTCCTATCCTTCAGGTAGATATGTGAAGGACTTTTTAAAGTAAGGGAAGCTGCAGTTTGTGTGAAGGATGCTTTCTTGAACACATCACATGATTTTAAATACTCATAATTTAAGACTGGTTTTACAGAGAAAGAAATAGTAGGTGGGAGATGCTGTTGCTGTGCTTTTGAACCCCAGTGCTACATCTTATCTCTACACCATTCTCTCCAGGGCCTTTTAGAGCGTGCTTTTTCCCAAATTAACAGATGCTAAACTATCAATGGCAGTTGTTAGGGATTCAGAACATTTTTTTAAAAAGAATTATTTATTTAATTTTATTTATTCATTCCTTTATTTTAATTTGACCAGAGAGAGACAGAGAGAGAGAGAGAAAGTGGGAAAGCAAGCCACCAGGTCCGGGATTTGAACCGTGGTCGGGATTCAGACGGTTTTATCACCTATAACTTCTGAGCTAAATGTTTAGAGTGCAAACAATAGCCTGATGGTCACTGAAATGCCACGTGCAGGTTCTGGTGTACTTGAGTAACAGTGTGGGTCACATCCCACTGTGCAATGCAGTGCTTATGAGTGGTAATCCAGGATTTGCAATTCATCGGGCCAACCAGTTTTGGAATTTGCGGTCCTTGGCAGTTTTTTAGTGAGTTGCAGTTTGTTGTAGCAAAATTTTCTAGCATTTTTCTGTATCAGCAATTTCAACTTTGCATAATTCAAATTTCCATAATGCATTCGTACTATATTTGTTATCGAGATTAGAGTCTGCACATTGTACATTAAAAATAAGGTATATTGAAGAAAAAGATGGGACTGCTGGCCACAGCCCATGTTACGTCTTTGTGCATATTCTAAAATGGGATCCCTTCTTCAACACATTTTTGGATCTACTGGAAAATTTTCTAATGCACTAGATTTGTTAGGATTTCACAGTTATCTCTCAGAAAACTGTGCTATTATATGCTATGCGCAGTAGGACTGACACAGATAACGTTGTGCGGCTCACTCACACAAAACGTATATGGCAACCATGTTAAAGCACTGGAATGGAGTTCAGAATACCTTCTGATTTCTCTTCTGCCCTGAACTGTCCATGAAAACCTAGATAGGGTTGCTGCTCTCCTAAGTGAGAGGCTTAAATTAAATGATCTGTAAGGACCTTTCCACCTTCAATATTCTTATTTTATGCCTCATCTTCCAGATGTGAATCCTTGAAAAAGCCCCCAAATCTTTGGATTCTTTAGATTTCACTCCTTGTGCAGAAATTTCAAATAAAAGGAGCTCTATTTTCATTTATTACAGTAGTTCTCAAACGTTAGCCTGCATAAGAATCACCTGCGGAGCTCCTCTGAAATCTGTGAGTTTAGACAGGTATGAAATGTGTGGTCGTAAATCCATGATCTGTACAGGAGAGAAAGGATTTCTAGAATAAAATGAAATCATTAACCCATGTGGAGAACCTAAGAGGCCTGATGATTTGCTTATGTTTGCTAAGAGTGGACTTACATTTGAAATGTATGAACTGCTGTTCACTCCATCAAGGCAAACAGAAAATCACACATTTATTTTACATTTACTAGAACCAACATTTTTCAAACATTTCCTAGGTGCTGTAGAGCCCCTACCAAAAATGCCCTGCCCTTTAAAAGAACTAAAAAAAAAAAAAAACCATAAAAACATATACACAAATATACAAATAAATCAAGGGACTTAATGTGAAAGGCAGCAGAAAACATTAGGAATAGACATTACATATTGAATATGAACCAGCCTCAAGGTCCATTGAAACACTGGTGATATTGATGGTGTATATTTATTTTTTTAATTCTGGCTTCCAGAGGCCAGCAGGTGGCATAGTGGTTAAGGTGCTGGACTCCAATATAGCTGACTGTGGTTCAAGTTCTGGATGCAGCACCTTGAAACTCATGCCAGGTGTGTGTGTGTGTGTGTATGTGTATGTGTGGATGCCCAAAATCTTGAGGAGAGAATGGAAGAGTAGGGATTGCAGCATGGTTGTCCCCCTGGGGGGGGAGGGGTGACTTCTCGCTTTCTGTCTCTCTGTCTCTCCAGTAAATGCATGTGCCCTATAGCAAAAATCTCAGAAAGAAAAAAAAAATCTGGCCTCCATAGAATGATTTTTTTAA